GCTCGGCTCGGTCGGCTCCGGCGGCCGAGGCAGGACGCCGACACGACTTACCCGCGGCGCTGGTGATGGCGGCCTCTCTCGGCGGGCGCGGGGGCCCCTGCCCGGCTGCGGGAGACACCGAGGGCCCGGCGCTTGCGGCGCGGCCGGGAGTCGGGGACCGCCTGGGGAACGCCGCGCCCGAGCGCCAGCGGCCGCGGCTCCGGGAGGGGCGGGGCCTCGGCGCGTAGGGCGGGGCCTCGGCGCGTGGGGGCGGGGCGGGGCGGGGCCTCTGCGCGTGGGGCGGGGCGGGGCGGGGCCTCGGCGCGTGGGCGGGGCGGGAGGCAGGGCCTCGGCGCGTGGGGCGGGGAGGAAGGCGGGGCCTCGGTGAGTTGAAACGAGACGGGAAGCGGCAGTTCCGTGCGGGGGTGGGGCCTCTGGGCTCGGGGCGGGTCGTCAATGCGTGGGGGCGGGGCTTTGGTGAGCGAGGCGGGGCCGGGAGGTGAACGGAAGGTGCCCGGAGGGCGGAACTCAAGGCGTCAGGCTGACGCCACTCGGGGGCGGGGTCCAGGGTGGGGCCGAGGGCTGCATCCTGCTCCTGCTCCGCGCAAGGTGCGTGGCCGGGAAGCGCTGTGCGCGCAGAATCCGGTCCTGGCTCCTCCGGCCAACGCCAACTCAGGAGCGTTAGTCATCCTCAGCTCCCCCGCCGTGGCTGGGCTTGTGCTTGAAAGGCCGGGTGGACGGGAATAGCATCCTCTGGGACTCCCACTGACACATCCAGTACTGGGCCAAGGTCCTCCACTCGCGCTTGGACCCTGGGAGCGCCTCGAGTTACAGACAATAGAACCGTGGCATCCACGAAAGGCGCGTGGCACCTGGCTCACGCCGGCCTTTATTTCCATCGGGACCGCACCCAAACCCTGCTTTCCACCCTCGGGGCGCCCAAGGTTTGGGGGCGCTCGTTCGGGGATCTTGGGTGGGGTCACTGTTTCCAGGCACGAGCCCGCGATGGGAGCGGCGGCTGAGGGCCGACTTCTGCGACTGGTGAGCTGACGCTTCCATGCAGATCCCATTCCCTGTCCTCCCTGGCCTGTCAGGCGCTCCTGGAGGCCTTAAGAGTCCAGCTGTGCTCACCTGAGCTTTGGCCCAGCGCGCACTCGCAGCCAACCCAAACAGTGCCACCTGTTGACTAAGGTTTGTAAATGTGGGCCCTTCCCTTTTAACCCCTGAGGGTTCCTGGGGGGGTTTTCAGGTTTTGTTGGGTGCCTGAAAGAGCTTGGAGGGTGGAGGCCGTCCCTAAACGTTTAAGTTGTGGATTTCTGGCCTTGCCACTCTACTGACTAATTCCGTAGGCATCCGGCATTAAGCCAAGTGGCCTACACTCAAGGTCTCGAATGGCCAGATTTTAGCAAGGATCTTCGGATGGAAGCAGAGGAGGACTAAAGGACTGAGCCACATTTAGCAGGGACATAAAATAAATGTCATGGCAATTGACTCTTTACTGAAGCTATGATAAGTTCTGTTTTGGCAGGACAGTTGGCAAGCAGGTGCTTTTCATCTCAAGTCCTTGCCGCACTTCCTGCACGGCACAGAGATGAAAGAGCTGCTGTTTTTTTAGACTGCTCTTATTGAAGAGAGCGCACAGTCTGTCCAAGCTACCATGTATAAATCTGTCCTGAGACATTTGTGTTTTTAAACTGTACATTAGTATGTCAGGCTCAAGTATTGTAAATTGTTCAAAGAACAGCTCAATTTATAATCGGGGTTGACAGTCAATGCACAAATTAACATTTACATATTCATAAAAGATTCCTGTTTTCTTGGGTCGGGTTGTCATGCCACACTTTTAAAGAAGTCCACCCGGCTGTCTGTGTTTCTCTGTTGAAGACAGGTAAAGAGAACAGCTTCTCTGGGTAAAAATCCAATGAATGAGACCATGCCCAATTAAATCAGAGCTTCAATCCTTCACCCTTCTTGTGCTGGCTCGGGATCCAGCCACCCATTGCAGGCTGGCTGGGGAGACAGGCTGAGATGTAAAGCATGGAACGTGGTGACGACTCTCAGCCCATTCAACCTGCTCGCACTCCACCCAGCCTTGCACCTGACCTTGTGCCCACTTTGCTAACAAGGGAGCCTTTGTCACACCCATCTGTATCTCCTGTTCCATCTCCAGGTGACTTCAGCACTCAGAGAGTCCCTCTGGCACAGGGCTGGTTGCGGTTCAGTAGTTGAAGGGAAGACCCTGGGCTGGTGTCGGGTGTGAGTTCAACACCAAAGCGGCAACCTACAGGAAGACGGACTGCAGAAAAGCTGCTGTGGATGCGGCCGCTGCCTCCATCTGATGCTTGGCAAAGCACGCAGCGGCGTGGCAGCATCCATTGAAACGTGCTGCATCCCAACCTGCTATGGGGAAATAGCACAGGATCATGGGGAATCTGAGAGCCACATACTTTGCAAGTCACAGAGGCCAACTGTATCACCGGCCCCTGATGCGGGCACGGTTTGCAGAGGCCTCAGGGAAGCAGGCCATGCGTGGCGCTCAGTACCAAGGAGCCTCTTGGCGAGGCAGTCTTGGCTCTTGACGCGTAGCTGTATGGTCTCTGGCAACAATAATGAACCTCTCCAAGCCTTTATTTCTTCATCTGATAGATGACATTCACCGTAAAGGCCTGTTGGGACAGTTATATGAAACATGACCTATGGCCTAGCACGCCACGGGTTCTCCAGTCATGATTTTACTTTCCTTTTTATTCTAAGCCCAATGATAATTTTTTTCCTCCTCTATAGCATGCCACTAAGCATTTTTTGGCTTTTTAAAAAATTTATTATTATTTTCTATTTGAAAGGCAGCTTTACAGTGGGGACAGAAAATGCCTTCACTGGTTCACTCCCCAAATAGCTGCAATGGCCAGAGTTGAGCCAATCCAAAGTCAGGAGTCAGGAGCTTCTTCTGGGCCTCCCACTAAGCATTCTGATGCACATTTATTTGTCAGGCTCCTTCTGACTGCAGCAATGGCCACCCAATTTGGCCAAGCTCAAGGAACAGGAAAATTCATTTTACAGCATCTTGTAGCATCTTGTAAACCCAGAAGTATAAGGAATGTGCCCCCGGCTATGGCCCAGTCTCCACTGCTTGGATCGAGGGGGATGGGATGTGGCGGCTCAAGTAAGAGCTCTGAGCTGGTCTGGCTGGCCCTGCCTTTCAGGGGAGAAGGCTGGGACAGTCCACAGAAGCCAGAAGGGCAAAGTCACCTGTGGCTGCTACAGTTCAAACCGAGTGAAGCAGGAAGGGAGGGCAGGTAGGCATGGGTGTTGCTCAACACTTCGCACTGGAAACGTGTGTGGTCCTGCAAGTAGATTCAGTGTCTCCAAATGTGTCCAGGTGAGGTTGGTTAGAGGTGAAACATGAGAGCAGAAACAAAGTACAAGACAGAGACTGTCTGGTGTCAGATGCGTTTCCTGTCTGTGGTGTTGTCCAGCACAGCTTGGCAGTGCCTGTCTGTCGCCAGCAGGACTCGGCAGGCCCAAGGACAGTGAGTTTCAGGAAGTACGCTGAAAGCCATCAAACTTTTTCTGAGCCAGCAGAGCCATTAGCGTCTCAGCAGCCATGTTCCGAGATGGAGGTTGGAGCAGGTCGGATTTCACTGGCGATGCAGAAATGGACTGAAGGAAGCAGTAAAGCAGTCCATCGTCAGAGACGGCAACAATGAACTTGGTGGCTTGTGACAACAAGGGCCATAGCAGGCCTCCTCCAATAAACCGAACCTTGAGCGTTGCTGGACTTGACTGCTTCCATGAGATAAGTCAGTGTTGTCCCTTACGGCCACATCTGGAGACAGCAGGTGATGTGTGCAGAAGACAACCTAATGGGGCGAGTGGCGGCACGCAGCAGGCTAAGCTTGCACCTGCCGTGCTGGCAACCCATAGAGGAACCTGGGTTTGAGTCCACACTGCTCTGCTTCTGCTCATGTGCCTGGATAGGCAGTGTCTGTGTCCCAGCCAGCCATGTGGGAGACTCAGCTCGAGTTCCTGGTTCCTGACTTTGGTTTGGCTCAGCTCCAGCTGTGGCAGGCATTTGCGAAGTCAATCAGTGGATGCAAGATCTCCCTCTTGGTTGCTCTGCGTTTCAAACAAACAAATAAATCTTGGGAGAAAAAAAGATAGTCACATCACAACCTTGACGTTGCCCATGGTAAACCACCTCGGATAAGCTTGGTAACTGTGGAAAACTTGTGTTGTTTTCCTTTTGTATTCTGTTTTCCATTGTTTTCCTGTTAATTTTGTGTGTGTGTGTGTGACCCGGTGAGCCATTTTTTTCCCCAAAGTCCTGATGCTCTTGCAGATTCTTTTCTTCTCTTTCATAAGCCCTTTTAGTCTCTCAGCTCATTTTCTCCAAATTATAACTGGAATCCAGGAAGCTTGTTTGGGAAACCCCTCCCACTTAGAAGGAATCAAGTCCCCCCTGTTGTCATGGAGACTGCCAGAGGCTCGGGAAATCATGTGAAGAATCGTTCTTGGGTGCAGCCCACAGGCAGCTGGCCTGGTCCAAGAGAAGACACCTACAGCTGGTGTCAGTCCAAAGATGCTGAGGCACAGACAAGAGGAAAGGGGCCACAGGACAATATCACCAACACCAGGACGGAATGTAAGATGCAAAACACAGGGGAAAAAGCCACATGCTGATGAAAAAGGCATTTCTTCTGAGTCATTTGGGCTTCACTGCCTTGTAAGTTAAGAGTTGTCCAGAACATGCATGCATAAGGCCCTGTGTGATAGCCTAATGGCTAAGTACTCACCTTAACATCCACCGGGATCCTGTCCCAGCTACTCCACTTCCCATCCAGCTCCCTGCTTGTGGCCTGGGAAAGCAACAGAGGACAGCCCAAAACCTTGGGACCCTGCACTCATGTAGGAGACCTGGAAGAAGCTCCTAGCTCCTGGCTCCTGACTTCGGATTGGCTCAGCTCCAGCCGTTGTGGCCACTTGAGAAGTGAACCAACAGATGGAAGAGCTTCCTCTCTCCTTTTCTCTGTCCATTTACCTTTCCAATAAAAACAAATGTTTAAAAGAAAAAAAAATGCATAGACATTCCTTGGTATGGAGTGAGTTCTTGCCCTTGGTGCAAGCGAGCCATCCTTCTTGTGCTAATGTCCCGTGTCACCAAACTAAAGGCTATGCTGTTTACCGAAGCTCTGGAGCAACCGGAACAGAGATGATAGATCGCCAAATGACCCAGTGTTAGCTGGCACAATAAGGAAGTTTTCCCTGCTCTCACCTTTGCAAGAAAAGTAACTTTGAACAATCTGCTTTTTGTTCTGCCTCTGCTGTCTCAGCCCTTCTCTGTCTGCACCCCAATCTCCTCTGGCTCCCGCAAACACGCCCCTCTTTTATAGGAGCCACAGCTCAATCCTAGAACTGAAAATAAAAACCAATTAGGATCTTTGAATTTGTTGCAATTATTTTTATCCTGGGACAGAATCCATAAAAATATACTCAAATACCACAAAGCAGGATGAGTTAGGAAGAAGGGCTGCTGAGCTAAGGGGATGGAGGATAAATCATTATCCTTGCAGAATCGACAAGCTAAGAAACAGCGGGACACAACAGGAGAATGCCTGGGACCTGAGTCCAAGGCCAGGACCACTCATCCTCCAGATGGCCCCCTTGCCCTGACCCAATGGCACAGGGAAAGGTGCCAGAATTGTTAGTTCTTGGATTTGAGTGCAAAACCGAATATGGAACTCTGGGGGCTGGGGCTAAGCCTTCTGGCTGATGGTGATGGCCGCTGACCTATGAGAGTTCGTTCTTTCTGGGGCCCAAGACTTCAAGCCTCGCAGAGTGGATCAGTTCCAGATGCCCCGCCTCCCTGGGGAGTCTCATGGTCGTTCCTGCTCAAGGCCAGACTTGGCTCAGCCTTCCCCGCCCCACAGGCATGTATTACACGTGGAGCTGCAAAGCAGATGCCCACCAGTTCTGCACGACTTTGTCACAGACCAGCTGGCCCTGAGGCTCCGTAGCGTCCGGAGGCAGGAGGGCCAAGTACACGGGCGTCTCGGCTGCCTCCTCCACAGTCCTGCAGCCCTCGTCCGCAGCCGCGTCTGTCTGCACCCACCCCGGGCAGCACGCGTTCAGCAGGATCCTGTCGGCTTTTCGCTTCTCATCCAGGCGCCGGGCCAGGATTCTCGACAAGACCGTGACCCCCAGCTTGGACACCCCATAGGCAGAATCAGGCCAACCTTCCTTCTCGTGTACCTCGTTCCTTGTGTCCTCCACAAACTTCTTCATAAGGTCCACCAGGTCGCCCTCCGAGAGCGTCTCGCATCGGAACTTCTCTTGCAGGTCTTCACTGCATTCTTCTAGAGCTTTGGAACCCTGCAGGCTACTGATGTTCACCACTCTCCCTGAGACAAGAGCACAGAGAGGGACACACGTCACCAGATGCCACCACCAATGGGGACACCAGACACAGCCTCAAAGCAGCGTGGGTTTCATTGCTGGCCACTCCAGGAGGAATAACATCTGTGCACCCGGGCGTTGTAACATTTATTTGGACAAGATAAATGTTCTCCCAAGGGGAAGGAGGCACTGCCATCAGCCACGCGGGGCCCCTCTGCAATGACTTCCCATGGAGGAGTGTACTGAGGGTCTGCAGTAGGTCCACCAGCTGGGAGGCACCCCTTCTCAAACACATACACCCCAAGCGATAGCCAAGTGGCTTTCTGAGAGACAGTGCCCTCTCGTGGAAGCTTACAGTTCTGCACCCCCCTAGATTGATAATACGTTAAGGCTGCGGGTAGCCACCTGCCTCCCTGACTGTCAAATCCCAGGTGAGGCAATACCTGAGGACACCCTTGTCCATCCCTGGGGGAACCTGGAGGAGGTCAATTCTCCAACTCGGGTTGATCTCATTAATCTTTTTATTTGAACACTGATATTAAGGCATTTGGTATTTGATCAATGAATTTATGAATTCATATGTTGTTAATTATTTATAACTACCAGAAAGCACAATTTTGCCCATAGATGAGCTAAAACCACATCATAATTTCCCCAAAACCATTAAGTAGGTCATTGGAATTTTTATTTTCTCCAGCAGCAAAACATGACGGTCAGAGATCTTCCACCTGCTGGTTGACGCCCCAGATGGCCAGGGGTCAGGAGCTTCAGCTGGGTCTCCCACACATGCGCAGGGACCCAAGTACTTGAACTGTCTTCTGCTGCCATTCCAGACCATGAACAGAGATCTGGAGTGAAAGGAGAGAGCGAGCGAGCGAGCGTGAACATACGCCCTCATCTACTGCTTCCCTCCCTAGGCTGTGCAATGGGAGCTGGATTCAGTCACTGCCACCACTGCTTCCCAGAACCTGCATTCCTGGGAGGTTGGCATCGGGCTGGAGAAGGCTGTCAACGCCCACAGAGTGAGTGGCTGGCATTTCAGCCATGAAGCTGAGTCATTGGCTTTTATTTCCTTTCCCGAGCCGCATTTATCTGCCCGTGGTAGCCTGTGGACACACATCCCCTAGGGCATCTCACGGGCCGATCCCAGAGGGAGATGCTTGGGTGCAAAAAACAATTTTGAAATCCATGTAGCTTTATTTGATTTGCAATATGCATTTTCCATGGAGGTTTTTTGAAACCTCTCACATATATTTTGTTTTGTTAATTTTGAATTTTGAAAAAAAATTGGAAAAACCCAAAGAAGTTGCAAGAACGTTTCAATGCCCGTATCCCTTACCTGGATTTACCCCCAGGGCCCCCGTGTCGGCCCTCTTGCCCTCTCTTTCTGTCAGTTGTAGATCCTCATACACTTTCCATATCGAATAGTTGAGTGCATTTTGGCAGCCAGGGCGCTCAGCTGCATGGCCACAGTTATAAATATGCTCAAGACAGCGGCAGCTGTCCAACACCAGGTGCTAAAAACAATATCCACATAAACTGTCTCTATTTGTCTCAATACTGTTCCTTCAGGTATTTTTTAAAAAGATTCATTCATATTTATTAGGCAGATTTTATGAGAGAAGGAGATACCGACAAAAAAGATCTTCTGTCCCCTGGTTCACTCCCCAAATGTCCACAATGGCTGGAGCTGGGCCGATCTGAAGCCAGGAGCCAGGAACTTCCTTTGGGTCTCCTTCAGGGGTACAGAGTCTCAAGGCTTTGAACTATCCTCTACTGCTTTCCCAGGTCAGAAGCATGAAGCTGGATGGGAAGTGAAAGTGTCCATATAGGATCCCGGATGTGCAAAGCAAAGATGTAGCCTTTGGGCTATCATTCCAGGCACATCCCCCCTTTTTTTTTTGGTTTAAATAGGAGAAGCAGAGTTACAGAGAGAGGAGAGAGAGAGAGATTTTCCATCCTCTGGGTCACTGCCCATATGGCCTCAATGGTCACGGCACAACTGAACTGAGCCCGCGAGCCAGGAACTTTTTCCTGGTCTCCCAAAATGGGTGCAGGGCCCCAGGGACTTAGGCCATTTTTGCTGCTTTCCCGGGACACAAGCAGGGAACTGGAAGGGAAGTGGAGGAGCTGGGGCTGCTGTCACCACAGGTGGAGGCTTAAGTCACTACACCACTGTGCCAGTGCTGGCAGTTTCTGCTTTAATCCAGGGTTGGTGTGAGAAGCTGAATTGCACTTCAGTCAGTCCATTTAATCTATAGTATTTGACAATGGTCTTTTTTGGGGGGAACAGGAGGTGGGTGGGAACTAGATCATTACTTTGTGGCATTTCTTAACCATCTTGATTGTCAACTGCTTAGCTGTTCCCAGGTTGGAACATAAAAGGGAGAGAGAAAAGGAGAAGGCACACAAGGAACAGAAACTACTTGATGGAAATACTGCCCAAGGAAGGAGATGGGCCCTGAGCCACAGCCCTGGGTGAGCAGTCCAATCTTCCGGGACAAGGGCTGCACCCACACCCGCCTGAACTGAGCTCATGGGACTCCAGAGACAGCTGCAGAGACAGCTCCAGAGACAGCTGCAGAGACAGCTGCAGGCTCATCCAGGAAAGAGTGGGCAAGAGGCTCCCCCTAGTGGCTCCCAGGGTGTCAACCTACAAATACCCACTCCTCTTGAGCGGCACAGACCTTGCTGTGAGATTTTGAATGGCTTTTAAATCCTTTTTAGTATGTGAACAAGATGATTTCCCCACAAATCAAAAAGGCAATGGGGACCTCAGGTAAACACAAGGCTTGCTGGAAAAGTCATGTGGATTCCCCATGTTGCAAAGGTGAGGTTCCTGTTGCGAGAAATTATGCCACGGAGAGCAGATTGAAGGGCATCACTGGACTGCGCAGGGTTAGCCCCGGGGCTCCTGGTTTCTGTCATTGCTGTCTCACTAGAACAGATTGCTAACTGGGTGGGGTGGTGAGCTGAGGAACCTAGCTACTGTGGCCAGATCTCTCTGCACCCACTTGTTTGGGCCCCACCTTTCCTAGCTGGGAAGGGTAAGCATGCAAGGTTTCTTCCACACCTGGCAGCTCTCAAATTCCATGACTCTAAGGCTTAGTGGGAGGGGATGACCTCCTGCCACTTGGCAAAGGTATAACAAACGAACCCTAGGCGGCCGAAGGAGAGTGAGGAAGGTTGCTGTTATCTGGAAAGAGCTCCGAATATAGACCATGAAAGAGTAAGGGGTCAGCCGTTGCAGTAGATGCTGCTTCTTGTGTGACAACTGTAAAGCATGCGCATTTCTATCTGCTTAGATTTACATTTAAAAACGTCCTCCTCTTGGCAGGGGCCTTCACCAACTCAAGGTATCTGCAGCTAAACTTCCTTTGGGCAACACCTGCAACTCCACCTGCAGGTGGTTGACAATCCCACCCCAAGAGAGAATGAGAGGGTTAGCAGTGAGTGCGGAAGCAGCAGTGAGGCACAGCTTTCACCATATACCTGTGGAAATCCCATTTTCCCCCTGTATCCACAAGCTGATATTGTTGTGTAGTGGTTAACCCACTGCTTGAAATTCAGGCATCCCCCATCAAAGTGCCAGTTCAAGTCCCAGCTGCTCCACTTCCAATCCAGTCCCCTGCTAATGTGCCTGGACGGCCCAAGTGCTTGCCGCTGTGTCACAGATCAGGACGGACTCCTGGTTCCTGACTGTGGACTGGACCAGTCCTGCCTGTTGTGGCCTTTCAATTAAAATAATGACTAAATCTCTACTTGTTTGATATTTGGAGATAATGGTTACTCAAACTGTTAAATTAAGGAAAGCACATGTTTCTTAAGAACCACGAGTTCTTCCTTAAGACTCATGGGGAATGTTTTGGGAAAAATAATAAGCTTGCTGTCCTTCCCCCTCCCTCCGAGCTACCTCCATCGCACCTCCTATTACCCCATGCCCCTCCCTGCATCACCAGCCCCTGGCACACCAGCTGGCATGCAGCAGGCACTCTGCAGGAAATCACTGCACCCCTGTCAGCATGGCTGAGATCCAAAGGCAGAGTCCCGGGCGCCGGTGAGGCTGCGGAGCAGGGCAACATGGACGCAGTGCTGGTGCGCAGGCCGATGAGCGCAGCCACTGGGGAAAATGGTGTGGAGAGTTCTTGAAAAAGTAATCTAGAAATAGACTTGCCATATGACCAGCAACATCACAAGCGGCCATGCACCCGGAAGACACGGGCACGTGGGGTCACAGCAATGCCTGTAGCCCATGTTTTCAACAGACTGTTCACAATAGCCACAACATGGAGTCAACCAACGTGCTATCACCAGGTGAGTGGTCAGCCACAGGCGGTACCTGAACACTGTGGGACTTTACTCAGCTATAAGAAAGAGCAAAGTTCTACCACTCGCAACGAACGGATGCAAATGGAGGACTTCATGTTGAGTGAAATAAGCCAGACCCAGAAGGACAAATATCAAATGTCTCCTCTTACATATCAGAGCTAATGTTTTTTTTTAAAGATTATTTTATTTTTATTGGAAAGTCAAATATTCCGAGAGGATGAGAGACAGAGAGGAAGATCTTCTATCTGTTGCTTCACTACCCAAGTGGCTATAGCAGCCAGAGCTGAGGGTATCTGAAGCCAGGAGCCAGGAGCCTCCTCCAGGTCTCCCACATGGATGCAGAGCTCCAAGACTTTGGGCCATCCTCAACTGCTTTCCCAGACCACAAGCAGGGAGCTGTATGGGAAGTGGAGCAACTAGGATACGAACAGGCACCCATATGGGATCCCAGTACGTACAAGGTGAGGACTTTAGCCACTAGGCTACTGTGTCAGGCCCTTAGAGCTAATATAAAAAATAAAAATTAAATCCCTTAGGGGTCTAAGCCTCCATCTGTGATACCAGTGTCCTAGATGGACATTGGTTCTTGTCTCAGCTGTTCCACTCCCTGCTAACGGACCTGGGAAAGCAACAGAGGGTAGCCCAAGCGCTTGGGGTCCCTGTATGCACGTGAGGGACCGGGAAGAAGCTCCTTCCTCCTGGTTTTGTCCCACCTCCAGCCATTTTAGCTATTTGGGGAGTGGGCCAGCAGGTGGTAATTCTCTCCCCCTCTGTCTCTCCTCTGTTTAACTGACTTGTAAACAAATTGAAATAAATATTTAAAAGTAAGTATTCTTTTTCCTTCTCTTTTAATGGGTCAGAGGATTCACTGAGACTGATTGGAGCTCACGGTGTTTGTAAACTTGAAATAACCTGTCATTTGAGGTTTGAGTTCATGGCATGATTTCTGAAAGCATGGAGATGTGTTCCCATATATGTGGCTGAAATGATCAAATGATGACACAGTTAGCACCCCGGGGTGGCCCTGTGCTGGGAGCCTGAGGCTGACTCAGAGACGCCACAGCACAGCCCGCTATCCCGGCTCACCATGAGGCTTCATTATCGGCAGCAATTCGGTGCAGACGCTTCTTGTGGCAAAGAAGTTTGTCTTCATCGTCAGCTCTGCTTGGATGTCAAAAGGCGTTGGGTCATCACCTTTCAGGCACAGAAGCAGACATGGAAAACATCATTTAAACTTTTTCCGGAAGTCATAGGACATGGTGGAGCTGTGGGTAAGCAATTCAAAGAAACATGGGTAACCGAGAAACTTTTTTTTTTGAGATTTACTTATTTATTTGAAAGGCAGATTTACAGAGAGAAAGAGTCGAGAAAGAGAGAGAGGATCTTCTATCAGCTGATTCATTCCTGAAATGGCCACGATGGCCGGAGCAGAGCTGATCCAAATCAGGGACCAACAGCTTATCCCAGGTCTCCTGCGTGAATACAGGGTTCCAAACCCTTGGGCCGTCCTCTACTGCTTTCCTTTCCACAAGCAGGGAGCTGGATGGGAAGTGGGGCAGCTAAGACATGAACCGGTGCCTGTATGGGATGGCGGCACTGCAAAATGGAGGATCAGCCTGTTGAGCCACTGTGCTGGCCCTGAAGCAATTTTTAAGTCAGTAAGTTGTGGGTGTGTCGCCGATTCACCTGCAGTGCCTGCTAGTACACTTCTTTCTGGGCCTCACTTGCAGAGTTTCTGTGAGAAAATCCGGGGTGGGGACCCCAGATTTTGAATTTCTACTAAGTTCTCCATGGAAGGCAAGCCACTGGTCTTTCGGCCACGTTTTGTGGACAGCTGGCTTGGACACCGCTTCTCAAACTGGCTGGAGCATGGGAGGTCTGAGAGCACTCCCCTAAGCCCAGGGAAGGCAGCGCACTCGGCACAGCAGTGAAGACAAAGCTTGGGATGCAGGAGACGCATCCTGCGTCACGGTGATGCCAAGGCTTGCGTCCGGGCTCAGCTCCTTGCTCATGCGCACACTGGTGGTGAGGGGGGAGCAGATGATGAAGCAAGTACTGGCCTCCACTTGGCACATGGGGCACCTGCATGGAGTTCCCAGCGCATGTCTTTGGTCCAGCTCAGCTCCAGCTGGTGTGGCCATATGGGGAATGAATCAACGCTTGAGAGATCTCTGTCCTTCTGACGTAAAGTAATTCTATGGGAAACTTTAAATAATTTTATGGAAAATGGATGAAAAATAGGGTCATTTTGATGCAAGACCGCGCTCAATGTCTATTAGGAAAAAAGCTGCCTGGATTTCAATAATGCTTTGCACTAAAGCAAACTTTTTTGTTTTTGCATTTTCCCACGAACTTTTAAAAATACCTGGGATTCTGTTACATGCCCATTTTGAAGCAGCAGGTTGCCGGCTGCAGTGTTGCTCATCAGCGTCCAGGAGCCTCACCTTTTGAGAATTCCAATTCACTCAAGTCCCTCCTGGGCGGGGCGGAGGTTGGGGGGATTATCTTCCAGCTGACGCCGCTCTGGGGCTGTCGGCTCCGCCCTGAACCCCGCCTGATCCCTCAGCAAATTCACTGGCTGGGTCACAGGTGTAAGCACAGGAGCCGCGCAGCTGCAGCTGGAGTGTGCGCCCATGGCCAAGGAAGACAGGCATCCCTGCATCATCGTTGTCCCTCACCAGACTAGAGGTTACGCTGGTCTGTGCTGGTGGCTTTGTGCCTGCCAGCGCCAAGGCAGTTCAACAGTTTCCTTATTGGTGTAATCATTTGAATCCCCCCTTTCTGTAAGTTGCCTTTGAAAACCACCCTGAGCTATCGACAAAAGCTCCCTGGAGAAGCGGACTCCAGCTTCGCTTTCCCTTGGCGCATCGCACCGTTGAAGTTTGAAAAGCGCCCGGGTGCACCCGAGCGCGCCCGATTTCTGCGCTTTATTTCCTGTCCAGGGGCAGCTGTCTCGTGGCTTCTATGAATGCGTCCTTGTTTTCAGCGAAAGCGAAAGCACCAAGGCAGACCCTTGGCGGAGATGGTTCTCGGACGGGACAGAAAACCGATGAGTTTAGCAGGGCGTGGGCCCCTCACGGGAGGCCGCTTTTCTTGCCAGTAGCCGCGGCTGACAGTCCCGGGAGGGCCCAGGGCGGCGCACAGGCCCGCACAGGCCCGGGAGGACAGGCGGGCGGGCGGGGTGCAGGGCTCACCCGGCGCTCTCTGCCAACTCTGAAAAGCGAAAACCCGCCGCGAGGTGGGAGCTGAAGGCATCCTCCGGGTGGGTCTCCTTCCCTGATCTCTCAAGCGGGAAAGTGGAGGGTGTCTCAAGTTCTCTGTCCGGTACCCAAGGGGCGTGCCCCCTCCCCGGGACCCCATACATACTCTCAAAGGCGATGCCCGCGTTGTTGACCAGCACGTTGAGCCCTCCGTACTCCCGGCGCAGGAAGTCGCGCAGGGTGCGGATGCTCTGCAGGTCGGTGATGTCCAGTTGGTGGAAGCGCGGGCTCAGGCCCTCCGCCTGTAGCTGCTGCACCGCCGCCTGACCCCGTGACTCGTCCCGGGCAGTGAGGACCACGTCCCCGGAGAAGCGGCGGCAGAGGTCGCGTGCGATAGCGAAGCCAACGCCCTTGTTGGCGCCGGTGACCAGCGCCACGCGGCTGCAGGACGACATGGCTGGAGGCGCGGGACACTTTGTGCCGAGAGTGGACCCGGCTGGCGATCCTCGAGGACGCGCTCTGCGGAGAGCGGTCTCCGGCTGATGGAAGAGAGCTGGGATCCAGCGTGCTGACTTGTAAAGAACGAGGCCCCCGGCCTGGGTCCCTCCCCTCCGAGGAGGGGCAATGAGCTCCCGTGGTTTTCGGAACGCCTGGCCTCCCGGGTCCGCCCCTTCCAAGTGCTCGGTCCTGGTGGATCCCTGCTTTGGCTGCTGCGATTGCCTGCGAGGAGAGCTTCTTTCCGAGCAAAAACCCGAACCGGGCTGGGTCAGCAGGAGCCACGATTCGCTGCAGCCAGACTGAATTCCAAAAAGGGAATAACAAGCGCTGAGTCATGTGCCTGGACGTGCGCCTGCAGTCAGCGGCGAATGCGAGCACGCCGGGGATCGGTTAACTGCTCCTCTGCAGGGACGCGGGGCCTTTTGCTTAGTTAAGGCAGAACTCAGCAGACAGAAAGAGCAAAGATGCCCCTTGAATGGCTGTAGGGGGCTCTGTGGCTCCCAGCTTATCCCCACGTCGTGGCAATGTTTATTACGGGACACGCCCTTTATTGCAATTGTTGGCTTAATCCTAGTGTAGCTCCTATGGTTGCTGAAAAGGGTCCCCTCTTAGGGATGTCCAAGGCGGCCGGCAGCCACCAACAGGATGCAGGCGAGAGTGTGAGCAGGTGTGGCTACCCACTGAGAATACCATCCACCTGTCTCCGTGTGCTTGGGCAGGGACTGTGACCTTGGCTTTTGGCAAGCAGAGCTGCTTGCTTGGCCGGTGAGTCCAGTTCTGAGTCAAGGCGATATGATTATTTGCCGTGGCTCAGCCACTGTGTCTTGCTTCAAGATCTGGGGTGCCAGCACAGTGACACATCGTGGCAAGACTCGGCCTGCAATGCTGGCATCTCAACTGGATGGTTTGAGTCTCCACCACTCCACTTCCCATCCAACTCCCTGCTATTACACCGGAGAGAACAGGAGAGGACGGCCAAGTACTTGGGCTCTTGTACCCATACGGAGGACGTAGAGGGAACCTTTGGCTCCTGGCTTTGGACCTGTCCAGCTTCTGCTTTTGTGGCTATTTGGGGAGTGAATCAGGGGATGGATAATTCTCTCTCTCTCTTTAACTCTTCCTTTCAAGTAAAAATATATCTTTTAAAAACCCCATAAAGATAATTTGGAATCAGTTTTAATCTCCGTATATCCTCTGAGTTGTTGATTTTATGGATGCCAGGTAGTTCAATGATTTCATTTCTCTCATTCCTGCTACAGGTAATGCTGTCTTTCATTCCCGCCTCCCAACACACACACACACACACACACACACACACACACACACACACACACACTCTGAGGGTTGTATATTTTTAAAAAGTTTTCCCGAGGAATTTTCCTGTTTGATTGAACTGTTTTCCCCTTCCATTTTGCTCTGTTTATGTGGATTTCTGATCTTTATTTCACTTCTTTTAGAAGTTGCATGTGGGAAATAGCCATTTGCTTAGCCGGAAAGGGAAATTCCACGAGGCAGTTGAGCGAGTAGCGGCCTGCTTGAGGTCGAGGGTTCTAAGAGAGCTCGGCAGCCTCTTCCCGCGTCCCCGCGTGGGTGTTCATTAGGGAAAGAGAGAGTGAGGAATGACAGCTGATGGAAGGCAGGTCTTCCAGGGCCTTGGGGATGGGGGCGGGAGCCGGGGAGAGGCACTGGAGCCCAGGCGCCTGGGTCAGCAGGGGGCACGGCTTAGTCACTTTCTTGTTGCTATCCAAGAAGAAAGTGGGAAGAAGAGGCAGAAGGTGTCAGCTCACCTGTAACAACCTCGTCTCCCCACAACAACCAGTCCTATGGGAGACACTTTATCTCCTTCATGAGGATTAGCTAATTGGGTGATTAATTAGGTAATTACCTAATTACTTCTTCTAGGTTCCAGCACCTCCCACAGCTAAGATGTTGAGTGTTAGATGTCGGTGTAAGATTTTGTGGGGACAGACTGTGACGTGTAAGTACAGAGTAGATTAAGGTATTGTGGGAGGGTGGGAGTTCTCAGCCCGCACCCGGGCCTGGGCCACATCAGACTTATTCAGCGCCCGGGACAGCACTGCAAAGAGCCTTGAAGGAAAGGAGTGGTTTGTGGGAAGGAAAGTGTTCAGAATGGCAGAAGAACCCAAGCAGAGAACTCGACTGTCCAATGAAACTCTGACCTGGCTGGAATTGCATGCGTGGACAGCAGGTGTGATGGGCGCACTCCAGTGCCAAAGCCAGGGATGGTGGGATGAGCTTTGAGATGAGCGTGACACTTCTTGAATAGGCTTGTCTCTCACACAGCCAGGCCATCCTCCCTCTGTGTTTCCTGCATCCTTGGGGTCAGAGCCAAGGCTTTGCCCCAAGCATGATGCATTCAAGGTCCTTCTCTGTTACATCCCCCGCCCCCCCGTCATCTGGGAGAGTGATGCCCTTCCAGTGTCTGCCTCCAGCCAGGAGCAGGTGAGCTGGGTCCCTGGTGTGGTAGGCGGGGCCAGCTGGGGAGTGAGGAGTGTGTCCTTCCCCTGTGGAGCTGCTCCCAGCTCGTTAACAGTCTCACTGTGCCTCAGTTTGCACATTTGTGAAATGGGAATAATTATACTCTTAGGATATCCGTAAGGATGAAATGAGTCAGTATGGTGAAACTGCTTAGAGCAAAACCAGCACATGGAAACTGTATAAATGTTCACTGTCCTCACATTCTGTATGAGGGAGATTGACATGTTTGTTTGTTTGGATAACAGGTGCCATGCTGGGCTACTAGTATTTGTTTGCTAATGGCAGGTAGCCATGTGGGCAGAGACGGCAGACTGGGAAAACTCCTCAGAGCCTCACCTTCAAGGAAGCAGCCTTGCCTCCCTTTATGTTGCTGTAGGCAAGCTCAGGCAAGAATGGGCTAAGAGTTTCTAGAAGCAAGATTGAGGTTAGGCACCTGAGTCACGCCAAGAGGTGGACAGACAGCTTGGAGACTTCCCCTACTTCACCCTTCTCCATCTTCAGTTCCTCATCTTCACTGGCCCTGCCCAAGGTGGATTAGCACACGGCTGAGGATGGGGACAATGGCGCTGAGAAGGCCGTGGGAGGTGGCAGGGAGAAGGCAGTCTTGGGGGCACCACTTCATGGTACTGCAGCTCCACCTTCCTTGTCTGTGTATTCCAGCTTGAGGTCTGTGGCTAGGGTAGCTGCAGGTGCTGATGGGGCTGGGCCAGGCAGGACAAGCAGGTATGGTAAGGCAATTTTCCAGGTCACTGCGGTGGCAACCCTGGACTCAGTTCCTAGCCTCTATATTTCGAGTGACTTGAGGGAACAGGTGGCTGCCGGTTGTGACCGCGGTTGACTGGAGGAAGCTAGTGTCCCAGCAAATGTGGCTTGTATCATGTAAGGTGGGCTTTTGGTGTGGGCTCTGCACCTGCAGGAGAAATGGCCATGCCAGTGCCAGGTGCAGGAACGACCATAACAGCGGGGGATCAGCCTGGGAAACGCCTGAGCCGGGACAGCTATGTTCCTTGGTCTATCACGCTTTTTATTTTCTACGATTGCCTGTTTCATTTCTTTCATTTCATTTCTTTTCATTTCATTGCCTGTTTTCATTTCTTCTTTGGGAAGATAGCCATTCCTTTCTGGTATTATCTATTGAAAAGCAACGAGACCTTGCCTACTGAAACTAAAAGTGTGTGTCTTGGGATAGCATTGTGGCATATCAGGCTAAGCCTGCACCGGTCACGCCTGCATCCTGTATGGTCACGAGTTCAAATCCTGGCTTCCAACTTTGACTGTAGACTCCTGGTAGCGTGTCTGGAAAAGCAGCAGAGGAGAGTCCAAGTGTCCGGGTGACCTAGAAGAAGCTCGTAGTTCAAGGCTTCGGTCTGGCCTTTAGCCCTGGCTCTTCATTTGGGGAGTGAACCAGCAGAAGGGAGATCACACACTCTCTCCTTCTGCCTCTCTGTGCTTCTCCTCTTGCTCTTCCTTTCACATTAAAAAAAAAAAAACTTGAAAAAAAATGTGTATGTCCTGGCAAGAGGGGAGACTGTTGGGGCGTTCCATCCTGCAGACTCCCATCCCTGTGTGTGAGAGGAGAGCAAAACAAGATGTGCTTCAAACGAGGCTGGTAGACACATTGTGCAGGTCAGGAAGTATTCCACAAGAGCACAGCAATTGTAAACTTTTAGGTGGAATGTATAACTTGTTGCCAATGTTGAAACACTTTCTCTGCGGTTTGCAGCTGCAGGAGCAGAGCCTGCTGTCAGACACTGCCCTCTTGTGGTGGCATGGACAATACACTTCATGGCAGGTGCATCAATTCCCTGGTTGCCATATCCAAGTACCACAAAACACATTGTCCCAAACAGCAGAGATTCATTCTACCAGAGTTCTGGAAGCCACAAGCCCCAGGTGAAGGCGTGACGTGGCCCAGCTCTTGCCACAGGACACAGGAGTCCCGCTGGGCTCTTCCAGTGACTTCTATGGCAGCAGAACTCCAAGCTGTGCCTCTGTGTGCCCACGGCCTCTGCTCCGTGGCAGGTCTGTGTCCTTTTCTTTTGCCTCATTGCATTGGGGCCCTTCCTCACCCAGCAGGACCTCATCTAAGCCCACCACACCTGCAAAGGCCCAATTACCCTGACGTCCCGTGCGAGGGTGAGAGAACGTGAACTTGGAGGAAACGGGTCTGAATCCACCACGGGGCCTTTCCTCAGGGTTTCAATGGACTCGCTGTGGTCACGGTAGGAAGCTCCTCATCCGGTCTTCTTATCATGAAATTTTGCCTGTAAAGGTCTTAGCTGTTTGTGATACCTGAGATGAAGGGCTTATAAATAATAAAAATGTATTTATCACTCATGCTCCTAGAGGTTAGGGTGTCTTAGATCTAGATATTAGATTTGGTTGTTTGTCATTTTTGTTTTCCCTTTGGAAAAAACTTTTATTTTGCTGATCTCTTTTTTTTATTTTAATTTTTTTTTTTTTTTTTTTTTTTTTTTTTTTTTTTTTTTTACTTATTTCTTGGGCTTGATGTGATGGGCTAGTGGCTAAGTCCTTGCCTTGCAACCTCTGGGATCCCATTTGGGTGCTGGTTAGCATCCTGGCTGCTCCACTTCCCATCCAGCTCCCTATTTGTGGCTTGGGAAAGCAGTCAAGGATGGCCCAAAGCCTTGGACCCCTGCACCCATCTTAGGGATCTGGAAAAAGCTCCTGGCTCCTGGCTTTGGCTTGGCTCAGCTCCCATTGTTGCAGCCACTTGGGGGAGTGAATCAGCAGATGGAAGATCTTTCTGTCTTTCCTTCTCTTTCTTCATCTGCCTTTCCAACAAAAAATACAAATAACAGTATATTTTACTCATTTCTTTCTTAAATCTTAGGATTTCTTGCCTTCTGTAAATTTGTTTTCTTTTAATTTAAAGCTTTTATTGATTTACTTATTTGAAAGACAGATGAGAGACAGAGAAGAGATAGGAAGGAGGTTGAGGGGAAGAGAGAGAAAGAGACTTTCTATCTGCCGGCTCACTTT